TGTTCCTGTGTCTAACTTGAAATTTGAGATACCCATTGATGTGAATGTTTCCATAATGAGATGTTTGGTTTAGGTCACTGACTTCCCCAAGGAATGTTTTGAGGTTCATCTTCCACTGGAGATCGTTCACCTTGAATTATCTCTTTCTGTGGCTTGTTCTTCAGTCTTTCTGCTTTTCTGTGGCTGTGTCCTGCTCTGGTGCATTTACAGGCAAAGGTTGTAGCAGGTGCAGTGTCAGTTAAATCATCAGCTGGCCTTGTTTTTTTTTCCTTTATTCATTTGCGGGATGAGGGCATCACTAGTGAGGCTGCATTTATTGCCCATCCCTAATTGCCCAGAGAGCAGTTCAGAGTCAACCACATTGCTGTGGGTCTGGAGTCACATGTAGGCCAGACCAGGTAAGGATGGCAGTTTCCTTCCCTAAAGGACATTAGTGAACCAGATGGGGTTATCCTGAAATTGAAAATGGATTCATGGTCATCATTAGATTCTTAATTCCAGATATTTATTGAATTCAAATTCCACCATCTGCCATGGCAGGATTCAAACCCAGGTCCCTAGAATGTTATCTGGGTTTCTGGATTAATAATCCAGCGATTAATACCACTAGGCCATCGCCTCCCCAATGTTTCTTACAATAAAGGCAGAGTATACTTTTACTGTCCACTCACGCTGTATAAGTATTTGTTTTCCTGTTGAATTTGTATTCGTTGGAAATGTCCAGATGAATGCGAGACCAAAATCTTGACAAAATGCGTCTGCTGTGAGCAGTAATGAAGTTCTGTACTCACAAATGACTATTTGCAATAGAATTATTTTGGTTTTTAAAGCTGAGCATTGCTTGCTGCTGTGAAGCTGCTTTGCTCCAGACCATTGGCAAGGGCAACTAGTGTCTGGTGCCTGTCCTACACACCACATTGGCCTACCTTATTAGTCTTTTATGCCTTGTATGTGACAAAATGAATAGAATTTTTGGATCTGCTGTGCTAAGAATTATCGTCTCTTAGGTTTGATCTGTTTTGCTTCCGGCTTCTTTTGGTTTACTCACCTTCTCGTTGGCTTTCTTCAATAGATTTGACAAAAGCTCATCAGAATTGCCTACAACAGCCCAGTCTCTTATGAATCTGACATTTATATCACCGTAATAGCATCTCTCCACTAGTCTGTAAAAGTTATGAATGAAATTATTCATGCATTAATCTGGATATTTCATTGTTTTGTTAAGTCTTGCCCTTTCAAGATTTTTAATAGTTCTGACATTGAAATAATCGCCAGAAGTTTCAATACCTCTTCAGATTTGTCTGATGTTTCATCTACCCTTTGAGCAATAAACTCATCTGCTATACTTGCAAATGTGTACAGAAGAGTATTTATGTGTTTAATTTCTGTCTTCATGCACAGTTTAGAAGCTACTCTATACTTCAAGGTTGTCCAATTTTACTTTCAATTTGGCTCATCTAAAATGAAATCTTCCTGTCAAAGCTATTTCTGATGTCATTACTTCTTAATGCAGTTTGCTATTTTATCATTTTAAAGACTTTTATTCCACAGTAATAGCAGTTCTCCCATGCTTAGCTGTGTACTGTAGAGTTTCCTGTGCTGCCCAGCTATAGTGGAGATATCTTTCCACGCTACTCAGCCGTGGTGGAAGTTTTCCTGTATTTCAGAGCCTCACCGTAACTCCAGTTGAGTTCTCAACCCCTGAAAAGAAGTCTGTCTAAGACCAGAGTCGCATACTGCTTTGCTTTGCATTGCTCAATACTTACCTGGTTTAAGTTGGTTTGGTTAACAATTACCCCAGCCCTCTGCTCCCAGAATGTAGCAGTTTTTGCTCATGGCTTTGAAGTGTTTTCCAGCCATGCCTCATGGTATCCATTCATGATGACCAAATTACTGCATATTTTGCGGTTTTCCATTTAGTACAAGCAGTTTTATGTTTGACTCCTACAGTTCTTCATGTACGGTTGCCTCATCAACTCAGCTCTGACTCGGGACTGTTCCACAGACTACTACCTCGTGATGCAGACTGTATGTCTGCTATGGATCTGCAGAGTTCTTTCTGTTCCTGTATGCCTTCTCTCTCTGGTCTGAACTGCTTTTTGTGGTATCTGCTAAAGCATTCTTCTGTGTTGAGTGATGTGGGATTTTCTGTCATCAGCATTTAGCAGTATCTGTTTAATTTGTCTTCTGAGTCACGAACATGTCTTTTATTTCTCTCTGGGGATTTTATAGAAAGTTCAAATTCTAATTTCACTTAGTTGGCACCATGTAGAAGGATTGTGTAGTGGTTGGCAACTTTGTTGTGGCAGGGGTCAGTCATTGCCACTATGTGTTTTATATGTGGGTTCCTTTAATCCAACTTTCCAGGTTAAACTAGAAGTATCTGGTTGATTAAACAATTGGATATTTATTGTTTCACTGAAACTATTTCCAGGTTACGAACATGACTTGCATTACGATAGAGATTGTTAGGACCAAAGTAGCCCCAGGTCTGACTCCTGCAGGTTTCTTCTTTACTCTGACTCAGTCCCCCAAGACACCATTATGGTACGCAGTGCTTCCAGCATGCAATCACTTATTAACCCTTTCTAAGCTATGTGCAACAATATTATCTGTTCACGACCAGGAATGGGACAGAAAATGGGATATTTATCTAAACTCAAATTTAACCATCCTGAAACGCAGATACAGCTGAGTATTGTTGTTCAAATTTAACAAGATAAATGGTACCCACTTGTTGCCATCTTATTTCTTGGTCGCTGCCTTGACCAGTCAGAGTCAACACGCCTATGTTAAAATTTAAAGAAAGCCTGACAGTTAACTTCTAATCATAATTAACTGATACATTCTACATGGCAACACTTCTACCAATCAGAGTCCACTTGCCAACTGATCAACACTGTCCTCTCAAACAGTGTAAATGTTTTTCCCATAAGTTGGTACCCTTGTGAATGGTTGTGATGCTTACGATATGAAAAGCTTTGACAAAACATACTTTTCCTGCGATAGTCTGAGATCTACACCAACAAACAACCATACACTGGTGAGTTGGCATGTTATTATATGGGATCACAGGAGTGGGACATTCCTGCTACTAGCAACTTAGAATAGATAACTGGAAAGGTTAAAATGTTGAAACTCTGTTTTTCTGATGATCTGGTGTATTAATGGTTATTCTTTGCTCTGGACTTGCAGGTTGATTTCTTCATTGAAATAAAAGTGTAATTGTAGCTATGGATGAGGCAGTTCTATCTGAACGTGCACATAGCTGGAGAAATGCAAAGGATAAAAGGAAAGCTTGGGCAAGAAGCAGAGACTCTTGGCAAATCTCTGAGACAGAAAATGGGTGTGTTGCAGAGTCTACTGTGCTATCAGAAGAAAACAGACCAGCAGATCTGGCACTGTCTGGACCATCATCTGAAGGTAGGAGTTTCTGTTCCATACGATATGTAAGATTTGTGTACTTGATTGATGAATGAATAATGTGCTCATGGTTAATTAGGTTGATTTTTCTTTTTGTGTAGACTGAACATAAACTTTTTAAAAAAACCTTCAGCTAACTATCTGGAATTGCCTGCATTGGTTAGATGTGTGCACGCCTCTTTGTAGATGTACATATTTGGTCCCACTCCAATGTGGAACATCTTTAACCTCCCTTTGGAATAGTCCAAAAAACCATCCAGTTGTACTGACTTGGCAAGTAGGGATTGCGGAAACAATCTTAAAATAAATTATTTAAAATGTCCCAGTGATTAGCTTTTTGACTAGCTCATCAGCCAGGTATAGTTTCTTTGATAAAATTCAATGCGAATTGGAACCTTGTCCCTGAAACAGCTACTTACTGCTTGATCTAGTTCATCTTTCAAGGCTAAGATGACCATCTTCTTCATATGCATTGTCTGGCGGTATACCGATGGGTATATCTGTGACTGCCAAGGCCAATGTGCCTTGCAGTGTTCTGCTGCAATCTGGACAGGGCACCGTGGAGATTGATATTCAGGTGCTGGCTCAGGATTTCATCTCCTTGCATTTTCTTTCTGTCTCTGATGTGTGCTTGGTCACAAGTTTAGTTTGGGAAACTTGGTCGGCAGGACGAGTTGGACCAAAGTGTCTGTTTCTGTGCTTTTTTGCTTGACCGCGTCGAATGCAGAGATCATGCGCAAGCTTATAATGGGGCATGAAGTCAATGCCAAAATCCCTATGTGAAAGCTTTCACAATGTCCTCGTTACTGCTTTTTATAACCACCACAGCAGTGTACTTCAAAAGCAAGCTCTCCATAGAAAATTCACTCTGGTATTCTGGTTTTGTGACCAGTTAAGTCAGCCATGACTGTCTGAGTATACCACGGCTGCTTGGTCTGCCAGATGATGAGTAAACACTGCGGATAGGAATTTCCACCAAGATCCAACAATTGAAATCACTCATATTAACAGAATGAAGGGAATAGTGCTCAAAGAATAGCAGACAGCTTATGTGGCTCCTGTGTTTAAAGAGCACATGGGACAAGTTGGGCAAATTGGAGACCAAATAGCTCAGTGTCAGCGGTAGGAAAGAAATGGAATCTTAATCAAATATGCAACAGAAAAACACGACTAATAGTCATCATTGATCCTAAAAGGAAAAGTCAATATTTTTGATTTTTTTTTTGTTTGGAAAGAAGTAACAGTAAGAATGAATAAGAGTAATGTAGCACAAATAATAAGTCTGGATTTCCAAAAGGCCTTTGATAAAGTTGTTGATCGAAGATGTGTAACTAAGGTCAAGACATAAGAAATCAGGGGTCAAGTAGCAGACTACACAGAATAGGGATTGTGGATGGTTCATCAAACTGGTAGCAGGATGGAAGAGGGGATCCACAAGGATTGGATCTGGGACTGCTATTAACAATTTACATATACAATTTGCAGTTGTTGGAATCCCCATAGGGACCAATAACTTTTAAAACAGTTACATATTTTACTAATGACCTACACAAAAAGACTGTCATCAAAATAAGCATGCCAAGATTAATAGTAACTAAATGTTACTTAACAGGCAACTAATAGACAAAACTACAAAAAAACTCTTTCCCCCGCCCCCCCACCCCACCCCACCCATTTTAACACAACAGAAAAGCCCATGTAGTATTTATACATTAGACTGTACTTTTTGTAGATGTGCAGTTTTAAGTTTAAAGTCCAATTCCTCCTCGTATTAATAGGACCCCTTCTCCCTGCTTTGTCAATATATACATTCTAATATAATTTCAAAATAACATCCCTTTTCATTCAACTCTTTGAACATAATTAAATGGACTTCTAATGCAAGTTTTCTCTGGCAATTTTGTGGTCTTTAACATTGCACAGCCCTTGGATTTCGTCCTTACAGCCTTTGCTTGGTGGTTATAACAAAAAACAGCCATTTATTCTAACTGGCATAACAACGTCTATAGTGGGTCTTATTTCTCCTTGTTGGTCTCACCAGCTCTGGGAGTCGGAATCCGATAAGATCAGCTTCTTTCGAAGGCACTAAAGCTCACACCTGACATCACTGCAGCTGACCCAGGTCTCCTGTCCCCTTGTCGATGAAATCGAATGGGCCTGTTCTCGGCAGAATTCCTATATCCCGTCACTCAAATCATCCCACAATACAGGGCATTCTGCTAAACGTAAATTAAAATTTAAAACATAATTACCTTATAAAGTCTCATAGTGATAACAGACTCTGGAATCAGAAATATAATTTCAAAATTTGTAAAGGACACCAAATTGGGTGGAATATAGTTCATACCAAAGATGATGAGAAAAATACCAGAAAATATGAAACGTTCAGAATGAGAGAGTATATTTTGGTAGTCACAGTAAGAAGACTTGCGAACACCTAGGGGAAGAACTGACAAAAAGGGGTCCGAGAACAAGGGATTCAACTGCAAAAAATCATGACCTGTGGCAACTTGTGTAATGAAATAAAGTTGCTGGGATTCTTAACATTAATTCGAAAAAGATTAAGACAAAAATATTTATTCAGGCTCATTTCTCTCTAGAAAGGAAGAGATGATGAATGGCCTAATGAAATATTTGATGAAGGAGATGTAAAAATATTTCCACCTAGAGAGAGCAGTTGAAAAGTAGACATTGTCTATATGGACTTTAGCAAGGCCTTTGACAAGTTCCACGTGGTAGACTAGTTAGTAAGGCTAGATCACATGGGATCCAGGGAGAGCTAGCCAATTGGATACAAAATTGGCTTGACAGTGGGAGACAGAGGATAGTGGGGTAGAGAGTTGTTGTTCAGACTGGAGGCCTGTGACCAGTAGCATGCCCCAAGGATCAGTGCTGGGTCCACTGTTGTTAATCATTTATATAAACAATTTGGATGAGAATACCAGAGGCATGGTGCGTAAGTTTTGAAATGACACCAAAATTGGTGGTATAGTGAACAGTGAAGAAAGTTATCTAAGAGTACGATGGGATCTTGATCAACAGGATCAGTGTGCTGAGGAATGGCAGATGGAGTTTAATGCAGATAGATGTGAAGTGTTGCATTTTGGTAAAACAAACCAGGGCAGGACTTATGCAGTTAATGTTAGGGCCCTGGGGATTGTTGTCGAACAGCGAGATCTAGGGTTGCAGGAACGTAGTTCCTTGAAAATGGTGTCACAGGTAGACAGGGTGAAGAAGAAATCGTTTGGCATGCTTGGCTTCCTCCATCAGAACACTGAGTTAGGATGTCACGTTACAGCTATACAAACCATGGATAAGGCTGCTTTTGGAGTACTACGCACAATTCTGATCACCCTGCTATAGGAAGGATGTTATTAAACTGCAAAGGGTACAAAAGAGAATTACAAGGATGTTACTGAGACTGGAAAGTTTGTGTCATAAGGAGAGATTGGATAGTTTGGGACATTTTTCCCAGCATAGGAGGCTAAGGGTTGCCTATAGAGGTTTTAAAATCATGAGGGGCATAGACAAGGTGAATAGCCAAGGTATTTTGCCCACACTACGGGAGTCCAAAACTGGAGGGAATAGGTTTAAGATGAGAGGGGAAAGATTTAAAAGGGTTCTGAGGAGCAACTTTTTCACACAGATGGTAGTGCATATATGGAATGGGTTACCAGAGGAAGTGGCAGAGGCAGGTCTAATTACAACATGTAAAAGACATTTGGACAGGTACATGGATAAGAAAGGCTTAGAGGGATATGGGACTACTTAAGTTTACGAAACCTGGTCGACATGGATGAGTTGGGCCGAAGAGCCTATTTCTGTGCTGTATGACTGTAATAAATCCAGCAGGAAATTCAGCATGAACCTATTTATTCTGAAAATAGTTATAATGTGGAACTTAGTATTGCAAGGGAGTAAGTAGAATGCATTCCTTTGATTGAAGTTAGCAAATCAACAAGGGTGGGAGGTAGGATAGGATGACTTATTGAGGTTAGGAGAAGTAGTGTGGGAGGAGACTCAGGAAGACATCAGTATTCTCTGCTACTCAGTTGGGCTGAATAGCCTGCTCTGCGTTGTAAATACAAGCTGGAAAATTAAAGGAAAGAAAGGCACATTTATGTAGCCCCTTTTATCTGTCAGCTGTGGTATTGTTTGGGAGCATTGTCACCTTTGAATCACAGGCTTTGGGGTTGAAAGTGTTTTATGTTTTAGCTAAACCAAGTCTACGCCTTACCATATGGTAGTCTTGTTGCCACCATCCTCCTTTAAACGTAAAGGTCTTTAGGCCCTACTTGGTCTCGTGTAGTACAGGAAATTTACTTAAACTAAAAGAGGCTCTTGTATTGAACAAAAGGTAGTTATTTGAGTGATAGCAACTAGTTACAGATTGCATTGATATGATGGAGATTTTTAGAGGCTGAGTGTGAGATCTGACTCCTTTGAGATCTGAAGCTTTTCTGCCTGTAATTCTATTTGACACCCACCGAGTAGGTGGTGCTTATTGCACTTCTCTGTATGAACACTTTCACACCCATGTACAATATAGGGCTTGAACACACAAGTCAAAGTTGACACCAATGCGCCGAGGCATTTCTGCATGGTTTTTTGTACTGTTTTTTGGATGAGCTATTAAACTGAATTCACAACTGTCTGTGCGGTTATGAAAGATCCCATCATACTGTTTTAAAGAAGAGCAGGGAGTTGCTCTCTGTGTCCTAAGCAAAGTTTATCACCTAATAGTCCCCAATTAATATCATTAACACAAATTACTACCTAGCCTTTATCGCAATTGTGTTTGTGGGAGTCTACTGTGCAATTGGTGGCACATTACTGCTTTAAGAATACTGAAGAGTTAGTCGGCAACAGCAACAAATTCTCACACAAGGAAGCAGTCTCCAGCAGGACAAAAGAAGCATTCGAGAAGCAAACCTTTGTGTCAGAGCTGATAGGAGGTGCAGGAAACATAGTGTGGACAAGGAAGAGAGTAAAAGCTAGTCAGACTGGGAAGTGATGGAGTCCTTAGCGAGCAAGGAACTGTGGAACCAAACCCGAACTTTATGAATAAAGTTTCAAATCCCTATTGGAAAGTGGAAAAACAAAATTAAAATTATGATGCAAAGACCTGACTGGGAGGATAAAAGAGTACTTTCCCTTAAAAACTTGTAAGTTTTAATGTTTCCACGTTGAGTTACAAGTCCAATTGTTTCTACAAAAGTACAATTCTTAATATCCGCAAAGGACAAGTATAGCAACAAGATGTAAGTGATTAAGCTAGTTCAGCTGCTTCTGAAAATTTTGTTCAAAATTAATGCAAAGTCATGTCCTGAATGAGTCACACAGCTAAACTAACTTGCCTTAAAATATATTTAATTAATGTGTTTACTCACATTTAGCAAACTTATTTGATTCTGACTTACTTGGTTTATGGTGTTATAAGCAAACTTGTGCAAAAGCACTCTCAGAATTTGGAGTGGCTTGTCCCTTACATTTCAGAACTTTGAACATGGGCAAGGGATACTTACACGGAAGAAAATATTCCAAAAAGATCCAAAAGATATACTGACATTAGAAGTCAGAGTAAAGTGACTAATGCACTAAATAGAGCAGTTACAGAGCCAGTGCATTGTTGTCTCTCCATGTTCTGTTTTTGAACTCTGCCATCATTAAAAGGACCTTAATTTTGCTATCTTCTCAATGCAGGGGAGAGAGGAATGGTTGGACAAATCAAACTAAAACATTGCTAATGAGACAGCACAATTCATTTTGCTATTGGAGATGCACCAAATTCAAAATTTGCAAACTCAGAAAAGTTAAGAGTTACCTGTGATAACAGCACTATGTATTGGATGAGCTATTAAACTGAATTCACATGTGTTTGGATGGTTATAAAAGATCCCATCATACTGTTTTAAAAAAGAGCAGGGACTTATCCTGTGTTTTTACTTGACCGCAGTAAATGCCTCAAAGTGTTAGACAGCAGTATTATAATGCAAAACGTAGACATCAATTTACATAAGGAGTGTTAGGATCGATAACCAACAGCTTTGTCAAAATGGAACACTTTAGAAAACACCTCAAAGGAGGAACGAGAGGGAGAGAGGTTGCAGAAGGGAATTACAAAGCTTATAGCCAAGGTAGCTAAGGGCAAAGCCAAAATCAGAGGCATTCAACAAGCCATACTGAGAGAAGTGCAGATAGCTAGAAGGGTTAAAGGTTTGGTGGAGATCCCAGAAGCCAAAAGAGGACCATCTTATGATTTGTTATCTTCCAACTTCCAACTCTGACCTCCAAGTAAATGTAGGCAACTGTTTGAATTGTAATTTTCTTTGGGAAGCTTATCGGTTTGTCAAACCCTATTCCCCCGCACCCCATTTATCTTCAGTTTAAAATTCCAATTCCCAGAAAAAAAACATGTATTCTTAGGACATATAAATTGTGACATTACATTCATAACTCTACCATTCAAAAGATTTTGATTGGCTGTAAAACACTTTGAGACATTGTGAGGTTATGAGAGAAAGTAAGACAGAATTAAATAGTGCCTTTCATGACCATTCGACATCTCAAAGTACTTTACAGCCAACACAGTTCTTTTGAAATATGGTCAATGTTGAATTATGGGAACTGCATCAGCCGATTTTTAAGAGTAAGTACTTTTTTTTTCCTTTTTCTATCCTCCTAGTCAGGTCTTTGCGTCATTATTTTAATATTTTTTTCCACTTGCCCATAGGGGTTTGAAACTTTACTCATAACTTTGCGGATGACACCAAAGTCGGTGGAGTTGTGGATAGTGCAGAAGGATGTTGCAGGTTACAGAGGGACATAGATAAGCTGCAGAGCTGGGCTGAGAGGTGGCAAATGGAGTTTAATGCAGAAAAGTGTGAGGTGATTCACTTTGGAAGGAGTAACAGGAATACAGAGTACTGGGCTAATGGTAAGATTCTTGGTAGTGTGGATGAGCAGAAAGATCTCGGTGTCCATGTGCATAGATCACTGAAAGTTGCCACCCAGGTTGATAGCGTTGTTAAGAAGGCGTACAGTATGTTAGGTTTTATTGGTAGAGGGATTGAGTTTCGGAGCCATGAGGTCATGTTGCAGCTGTACAAAACTCTGGTGCGGCCGCACTTGGAGTATTGCGTACAGTTCTGGTCACCGCATTATAGGAAGGATGTGGAAGCATTGGAAAGGGTGCAGAGGAGATTTACCAGGATGTTGCCTGGTATGGAGGGAAGGTCTTATGAGGAAAGGCTGAGGGTTTTGAGGCTGTTTTCGTTAGAGAGAAGAAGGTTAAGAGGTGACTTGATAGAGACATACAAGATGATCAGAGGATTAGATAGGGTGGACAGTGGGAGCCTTTTTCCTCGGATGGTGATGGCTAGCACGAGGGGACATAGCTTTAAATTGAGGGGTGATAGATATAAGACAGATGTCAGAGGTAGGTTCTTTACTCAGAGAGTGGTAAGGGCGTGGAATGCCCTGCCTGCAAAAATAGTAGACTCGCCCACTTTAAGGGCATTTAAATGGTCATTGGATAAACATATGGATGATAATGGAATAGTTTGGGTTAGATGGGCTTCAGATTGGTTTCACAGGTCGGCGCAACATCGAGGGCCGAAGGGCCTGTACTGCGCTGTAATGTTCCATGTTCCATGTTCCATGTTCCATGTTCCATGTTCCATGTT